TCTTTAATCCTTAAAGTCTTCAAAGTTTCATCACGGAGTTCACCACGGCACGAACTGTCAAATACGTTTAGCACAAAATCTTCCTGTTCCTAATTTCCCTCGTCGTTTCGTGTCTGCGTAGCTTCTCATCTTCCTCGTATCTTGGAATCAGAGCTTTCGCCTGGGAAAATTCGTTTACGCTACGTGGTCGACCAATTTGACTTATCAATGTCCAATTTGCCGGTAATTCGAGAATATTATATGCTCGTCGTCTGTATGAAAAAAATTAAAATTAGTTTGATTATTGATTATTTAATAGTGGAAGAATCTTTAATAATGATATATTATTGTTGATTATCGAGGAAAAATTTATAAAATCCATGAAAATTTTTTAATTTATTTGGAAAAATTTGTCAAATTTGGATATTGTTCAATTTAAATATCACTGTGGAAGATAATTTCCTCTTTCTTGTTAATTATTGAAAATAATAAATTATTGTTCAAAAAGAGTCTTTTGTAAATACTTACGAAAATAACCAATTATATATAATATTGCAATAAAAATTTATTTACATTGACAATTATTTTAGATAGAAGAAAAATTGAATAGAATATTCAAAATTCAAAATTTAAAGATAATAAAGAAGAAAAAAATGTCATTTTTAATTTATATCTATTTAACATTTCATACAAATAATATTAACGATATATAATAAATTAAATATTTTAAATATTTTATCATTCAATACTTTCGTTTAAAATTTCTTCCAAATTTACGAATAATATCAGAGATACATATCTCACGGAAAGGATCGAAAGAGTCAAAGCATACTGCGCTTGCCAATGAAAGAGAGCCATTAGAGTCACCGTGTAATTGATAATACAAACGTTGGCCGAGGTTAATTCCATTTGGCCGTTTGAGAACACACGAATGTTGGAAGTTTTGGCGGGATGAGTTTTTGGAATCGATCCCTGCGGTCTGCAATGCCGTGCACACGTAGCTTCACGACTAGTTAGGCCGATCGTTATCGTTGGTTTTTACAATTTTTCGCCACAACATTTCGAATCACTTGCCCTCGCAAATGCGCCACTGTGCCTCGTCGACCCTCACACCAACAGAACTCTCGTCCGATTTCCTGGGAAAATGGGAGTGTGCCTTGAATGGAGGGATTCTGGGTGACGTTCTGCCTTCCTTGGAGAATACCCTCTTAGATTCCCCGACTTTACGTCGAAGAAACGTTTTCTTTAAAGCATTCGTTGGCTACACGAATTGTGCTCGTTTCTATTGCGGCAGGAGAAAAAGGGGGGAAAACGATCGTTTTGATGTTATTATAAATTGCACTGAAGAGTCTTGATAAAATAAGGATAAAATTTTTCTCTATTTATCATTTCCAAGTTGCATTCTGCGATGATATTTAGGTCGTTGAAGATCTGAATTTGATCAACTTTTTTCCAAAAAGTTATAAACTACTTCAAAATTATTCTTTGATTTTCTAAATTTTCGTCCGATAATAAATAATACCTCTTATCGTTTCAAAATAATTTTGCAGTAAAAAATTTAAAATTGAAATCTTGATTATTTGTATCCTAAATTATTCTATTCACTTTGAAATATCGAGAAGATGATAATATAAGTATAGCATAAAATATAAATAACGAGCAAAAAAATTAAAACGTTGACGTATCTCAAAATTTTGCATAAATTATCTTTCACACGTTAAGCTTCGTTCCACCCTGATACCCAATCTTCTCTTCATCACGATACAATGCTCGTTAATAACAAACAAACAAAAAAAAAAAAAAAAATAGTGAGTCTAATAAGACCTTGTCACTTTATGTTCCTCGCGAAGTGTCGAAAAAAAGGGGGAAAAAAAAATTTTTTTCAGGGCCGTTGCACGTTTAATTGAACACGTGGTGGGCGAGAGACAGAGAGAGAGAGAGAGAAACTTGTTCGCCAATTTTTGAACTCGGGAATGGTTGGTCGTGTTCCCGGAGTCTGCGGCAAAAATATAAAATATCAGTTGGCACGGATCCCCTTCTAACCCTCTAACCTTTCGAAACCGCAAAAGGGGGGAAAAGCGGGGGGAGGGAAGATGGGGGAGGGGGCCAATACCGAGCCTAAATGATATGCGGCGATCCACGTAAACGTATTGCAGTTGGCTAGATCGTAAACGAAGACCACCCGCGGGCTTCGCAATCCCTCCACCACTTTACCGACTTTAACCCTCCTCGACTAACGAACCGGATCGTTATTCAACCCGCTTGTATCCTCGAGGATACTACGGTCGCTCGTAATTTTGAAATACTGGCCTGGTATCTTTGGAGGATCAAGGGCGAGTCGGAAATTCGAAGGTATACACCGTGAATGGTCGTCCATGCCGCAGAATGGTAAAACGTGTGTTTGTGCTGCAATAATGATATGTTGATGGAATGGACAAATATGTGAAATTTGTGTATCGTAATAGAATGGTATTTCAATGTATAGAATTTTGAGTATTTTTTTTTTTCTACAAGTTTTTTCGATAAAAAATTTTAGTAATATTTATTGAAACTTTATGAAGAGATTAGAAGAACAATTAATGATAATGATAACAATTAATTAAAGATTTTAATTTTTAATTTTAATAATCTTGCTAATTGGTGAGTAAAATTTATCAAATTTATCGAATCAATTTAGTTTAATATTATTCTCGTTAAAGTTATAAATCGTCGAAAGTCTTAAAGAATTAGGAATTCTGGTCATTTCATTTGCAATAATTTAATGAAAATGATTTTAGAGAAAATAATTTTAACCCTGAAGAATGTAAAAATGTTTTACAATGTAAAAGTATGTATTATATAAAATGTCAAATTGAAAATGTAAAATTTAAAACATATTTAAAGTTCCATCGACAAAAAATACAAGTAAAAGTTTTTTCCTATAAAGAATTAAAAAATTGCAAATTTTGAATTATGTCATTGCAGCAAATATGTTCGCATGATAGTGAAAAGATTTTCTGAAATATGGATATGCATTTATGTATTACTCTGTATACTTGACTGATTACGATATAAACTTGATTCATTGTGACTTTCTAATTAAGTATTGTTTCTGTTGATTGCAGAAAGAAATAAGAAACTAATAACTAATGACTTATGTTCTTTTATTTGATTACAATCTGTCATCTCGTTTCTTTCATTCTTTGAAATATGTTGAAACATAATATTTATAAAGTTCTGCATCTTTTATTTTTCAAATAATAAATTGAATATATTCATTCCAGACACTAAGAAAATGATAAAACTTCACTTTTCTCAAATATTAAAAGAGTATAATATCGATTTTGGAAAATAATCAAACAATGAAAATTCGATTAAAATCAAATCTAACATAACCTAACTTTTTTAACCACGATCTTACAATCTATTTCTTTTTCACTTTGAATTATTGATAAAAAAAAAAATTAACCTTCAAAATATAGTAAATGATTATTTAAATATCTCCGATCAAATCCTTCCGAAAAGTAACTCTTTACAAATTTTACAAAAATCGTAACGATGTTTTCCTTTTAACTTCGAACTTGGATACATTTATCGCATACTGGCAATTATACCTAGCATCCTGTTACTTCCAAACACAAAAGACGCGTCAACAAACACGCGAAGCTCCGCTCGAAGATCGTATATACGCTATTTTTACCTCACGAGTTTCCACGAATTCGAGTCTAAAAACGAGGAGGCCTATCGAGTAAAGCAAAAATATGTATGAAATTCAAGAATGGGCAAGATTGATGTTTCGATGGAAAGGGGCTTTAATCGCTTTTTCGAAAAGGATGAAGACGTGAGAAAACATATCGCATTTCGAAAACACAACAATGCTTGACCAAATAAAACAAACGGTATTGATATTCCGTGTTCTTCCGGATTTCCACGAGAGGCCGTGTTTCTATTAGTGCCTGGCGGAGGCTTGTCCTCTTGAAATATAGGTATCTGCAACGTATATACATGTTTTACAGCGTGTTTCGCCACTGACGTGTGTGCTCTCAACTTCTGATGTGTATTATTATGTAGTTTTTGGCCTCATCGTGGATAAATGACAAATCGAAGACAATTATTCTTCTGATGTGTCAAATTTTATAATACAGGATTAATTAATTTATGAGACGAATGTTTCTTTTATGTTTAATTTTTATTACATGTGAATATAGTTTTAAGAATGGGATATGAAATTTTGTTTCTATTCTTTGGGATTTTATAATAAATCTTCTGTGGATAGTATTAAAAAATTGTAATAATTTTGTAATTAAAAAGTGCTTGATAATTTTATACTATTCAAACTTTTTATAGTTTTTAAAAATTATGACAAGTATTTTTAAAAAAATTTTTGAGAAAAAAAAATAGATAAATTCTAATTATAATTATTAGAGTAACTTAATTTCTTTATAGTATTTTAAAATTGTAACTCGACAATTTTTAAGAAAATTTTTATCTCTTAATTCGTCTTTAAAAATTCTAATAAATATTATCATTCTGACGCAATCTAATTTTTTTGTAATCTCTAAAAATTGTAACGATTTTATCTTTGGAAAACTTCTAACACAATCTAACTTTTAATTTTTAGTAATTGTTCTTAAAATATTTTTAAAAATTCTAATTTTAATTTTCTTGATTTTTAATATAATCTAATTTTTCCATAATTTTCATAAATCGTAATGACATTTTTTTTACATAATTCTTTACTTCTTGCACAATTTAATTTCTCTATAATCAATATTCTTATCAATATTCTTTAATTATTAATATAATTTAATCTCTATAATTTTTTCTTAACATGACGTAATCCAATTTTTCTACAATTTGTAAAAATTATCATGTGAATTCAAAAATTATAACAACTTTTTAAAAAAATTTTTAAAGAAAAATAATTGATCTCTAACAACCTAATTTCTCTACAATTTTTTAAAAATTCTATAATAATCGTTAACGAATAAACGTAATCAAATTTTTCTCCGATTTTTTAAAAATCCTAACTCAACTTAACCTCACCGCAATCCTAAACTTATTCCGATACACATTATCCTATTCTCGAAAGTGTTAATCAATTAACCTAAAACCTTTCCTTCATTGTCCAAACAATAAATTACACGCACAAGAAGGGCAACGCGATCCAACGCGAGAAAAGTATCCGTCAAACTTTTCCATGTCGATATTGCCCGCTCTCGAATCGAATTCCAATTTCCAGGGTAAAAGAACAAACTACGCCACGCGTTGATGAAACGAGGACGCACACGTTGGTTAATCGACACTGTGTTGCCTCCCCCCTGTTCACGTCCCGTCCCTGAGGGACGTCGTGTCGTTGGACGATCTCGCTCGTGATTCTCCGCTCGTTGGCCAACGACGGAGCACGTGTTTTCTGGGTCACGGTACAAGATGCCGGACTCGTTATTTCCGCGAAGCGACGCGCTATTTTCAGTCAGCTGCCTCTTCGGATACGTGGGCACCGGAACGGGTCCTTTCCCTCCCTCCCCGTCCACCATTGACGACTGGAAATAAACCGTTTCTCCTCGGCCAGGCTAACAATGGAAACGGGTTTTCATTCAAAACTATTGCACTCGAGTCCCCTTCTCGTTGCCCTCTCGTCTTAAACCACTGTGGGGATACTATCGCGGAGAATCGTGGATGGGGGCGCCACCAATTAGGCGACATGAAAGTTCAAAGGATCGTTAATCGCGGTATCTTCTCTTCTCAAGAGTTCTGATTCTTGATTATCTTTCAGTATCGACGATAGATGTCACCTATAGGAGGATGGAAACAATGGAATTTATAATAATAACAGGAAGAAAGAGGCTTTGAATCTTTTTTTTTTTTTTTTTTTTCTTTATCCGAGTCGGTCCACGACTCGGCAGAATGCTTCCATTGCTGTTTTGAAGTACTCGGTCGGTATTAACGAGTGGATCCGAGGATTCGTTTTTTCAATGTGTTACACGGTGTGCGAATTGCGGACCTGATATTCCTTTGTATCTCGATAATGGTGGTTTGTATTTATTTTATTTTTTTGTATAGGAAGTATGTGGTCGTATCGAGGATTAAAATGAGATTAATGTTTGGAGTTGAGAGAGGGATAGCGATGTCGAACGGAAATAAGGTTAGTTTCTTTATTTCTTATTTGAAAATCATATTTTAATATTTAATATTTAATTATGCGTGTGTTGTTAGTTGTAATATTTCGTTCGTTTTAGTATCAAAGCCATTAATGTTATCTTATAATTTGAAATTATCAAATTTTAACGATAAAATTAGTCCATAATTATGCAAAAGGACTCGAATGGATACGAGAAACATTGTTTTAATTGGTTTGGCTGGATTTTAATATAATTTGTTTTAATTCAATTTGTTTTCTTTACAAGATTCATTTGATACAAGCAATTAAAAGAAAATTACACGAAAACGAAAATTTATCTTATACAATTTACGTTGATTTGATCGAGATAAATTAATTTTCTTTATGAAATGGATAGATCATCAGCTAGAATTCTATGAAAAATGCCATTTAAAGAAAAGAGAAAATTTATATAATTTGTAAATAATTATAATCTAATGAACTTTTCGAAAATATTTTTTTCTCACATTCGTATCGAAAAACGTATTGAAAGATCATAACAACGTTGATTTTAGAAAATTTCAATTATTTCAATAAAATAATTATTAACCAAATTCCTGATCTCGTATGAAGAATCTCTCTGTTGTTAAAAATCTATAAATTGTTCCTTTCTTGGATTCCATAGTTTACAAGTGCAATACGATATCATGTTGATAAGCCAGCCAATCACATCAATTGTTACAAATTGTAAACGACGATTGGTTTTCAATTTTCAAAAGATCTGCCAGTGGTGAAACCATCGAAAGAAAAGAAGAATGAAAGGAAACACGTGCTCGCAGATGCATCGCTCGGCGGCTATCTATTTTTGCGATACGTCAAGCTATTCTCAGTTACGCTCCGGGTGCACAGAGTGCATCGACTGTCATCGTTGCTCTAGGAATAAACCATCCATCACGTTGAACTGAATTCGACGCGCACGTTAGATCTCTAGATATTTTCCTATGTCGCCCTCGAACGGTTTCCGTTTACATCATCGACAGATTTTGATAAATTATTATTGGCTGCGTAATTAAACGACAAACGTAGATACTATGTTTCTCTAGACTTCCTCTATTTTCATTCAAGAATTTCAAGAGTTCTCTAATTTCATTTCAATCTGTTTTCAATCTGTGAGGAAAGTAGGAAATTTTTAATATGAAGATTTTTAGTGCTTGTTTATCTCTATATATATGGTTGGCTAGATTAAACCGCAATAAGGAAATAGAAAAGATTTATTACTATAAACATTGTAAAAAAAAATCGTTATATAATTTTACAATCAGGTTAATATTAATATATTCGTGGAACACCTTTCGAGGATCGATTCTAAAGGCCAAAACAAATACAGAAGTTGGTATGTAAAAATGTCGGTTAAGGCTTATTTATTAAGCTATAACCAGTTCAAGTTCGGGTTTGATGAAACGAGACGGAAATAGAGCGAATCAATTCTATCTCCGTCGCGCTGCCTATCTCTCTCTATCTCGCTCCACGCAAACTTAAATTATATTGCGTTTTAATATGCATAAACATAAACCTCAACCAAATATTTTTGTATAACGATTGTTGTGTTTATCTTGGCTTGTAGAATCGATCTTCTAAAGATGTCCAAGAATATATTAACACCCTGTATAAAATATTTTATATCCTCTGCGATAGAAATTTTAACATTACTGTTTAGTTTCTACCACTAAAAATAAAATATTACGTATTTTATCATCATAGAAATGTATTTTTATATAATTGTATAAAGAGAGAGAGAGAGAGAGAGAGATAGATAGATAGATAGAAGGAAGTTATTTGGCCCAAATATCTGATACTTCAATATAATATTTATCTAAACTAGGTGATTTTTACGAATTAGATTTGAACAAGAAAATGAATGTCATTCACACTTGAGGCTCACACTCATATATATAATATATTCCATTTGCAAAAATTGTTGGAGATAATGATGGATACTAATTATATGACGTACAGTATGTTACGTTATATTATGGTATTCAGAACATAAAAATAATTAATAATCTTATAGTTTTCTTTTCTAATATTGTAATGTAGTGAATAAAAGGATTCTTATTTCCTGAATAATATTGGATTGGAATAACACGTTGAAAGTATTCTAAAAAAACAAAATCACAGAAATGAAGTGTTTTATTTTAACAAAAATTGCTTAAAGAATTTATTGGGCAGAATTTCTTTCTATTTATTTCTTCTTGGTAAATAATAAATAATCATATTTATAAAATTAAATTATTTCGTTAGTTGATTCTTAATAGATCAAAAATTTTCTGGATTAATAACAATGAAAGTGTGTTAATTTCTCATCATCAACCATTGAAATATCGCTGAAAAATTTTATAATCTTTCACAATTTTTTATAACTACAAACAAGAAAATCTGTTATCTGTATTTTAACATAATTATAAAAGTTCAAAATTATAAAATTTTGAAATTGTGAATTATTATTCGAAATCCTTTGAAACTCAAAAATCGTCGAATCTTTTTATCATTTTTGTAATTCTCGATATCGAGATAAAAAAATAATCTGTATAATAATCTTTATAAATACGATCAACGATATCTATCTAATTAAATTCGTGTTTAAATTTTGACGTCATTTTGATTGATATCAATTTCATCGATCCGATTACGATAATTCATGTGAAACGAAAAATATAGAAAAAAATATAACTTTTCATGAGCCAGGAACACGATAATTTTACTTAAACTCGAAAATCCCTAAAAATCAAAATTTATCAAATTTTATTATTGATCTTGATAAACCGAAAATAGATCCCCCAAATCAATATTCAAATTATTCCTTCAACGAGGAAACTCTTCGAAAGACGCATAAACTTGCCCGTTTAATATTCAAGCGAAATAGATTCCGAATCTTCTCGAAGCAATATCCTCCGTGGTTCTTGAGAAAGAGATCACAAGGGGAACGACATCGATCACTTGGCTCGACGAAAGCAGCTTCGAGGAAAGAGAGAGACGCACAGAGAGAGAGAGAGAGAGAGAGAGAGAGAGAGAGAGAGAGAGAGAGAGAGAGAGAATTTGCGACAGGCGTGAAAGGTAGTTCGAGAACAGCATCCGGCATCGAGGAGTCGGCCGCTAACTAACACAAAGCGCTTTCATCCCGGAAAATTCGTCTGGCCGGGGATCTCGCTTTTGTTCGTCGTGGCGCGACATCCGTTGGATGATTCACTACCCCGTTGAATCGTTGCGTTTCCGGAGCTAATCTGTCCTTTATCTCGCTCCGGAATCGGACCCGACCTCAAAGGGGGAGCGAGAAACATTTGTCTCTTGGCACAATGCTCGACTGTGGCGAGCGATAAGAGCGCCACCTCCTTCGAAAACACTTCAGACAGTGCCCCCACCACCACCACCACGACCACCACCACCGTCACCTCGATGACGACGGCGATTAAACAAGGTCGTTTAACACCGATATTCCAACGGCGTTTGGCTCCCTCTGCCAAGAAAATGGAGTATTTATTTGTTACAAGCTCGAGATCTGAATTTTCATCCTTTATTTCCTTGTCCTCGTTCGCAATCAAGATCGTAGAGAACAACTGTTCGAGAGACAAAGGGGCAAGTAATTTGAAGAAATTAACGGTGTTGCGGCTCGATCGTTTTATTCGAGCGTATAAAACATTACAGCCGTTGAGGACACGAATTTCTATATAATATTTGAAAGAATTTAAATTTATTCACATATTATTCGGATTCAGTCGATATCGCATTACTACTCGACTCCAGTGATTACAAATTGTCACATTACAGAGATCCAGTGATTAAGGTATCGTATTGTCGTTTCATTGTGTCCAATAAGGATTCTGAATTCTTTTATCGATTCTTGAATTAGACATTGTGAATGAATATTATGAATATGCCCAAGTACTGGATGTAAAAGATTTTCACTCTCGACATTTTTTTCTTGAAATTGAAGTTAAATTAAAGTATCTCTTAAATTGATATATATATTGAATAGCTTAATGATTTATCTTTTATAGAAATTAATTATAGAGATTATGAATTTCATTTGTTGATAAAAATAATTTATTTTATGCAACAAATAATTTTCATTATATTCAAATATTTGAAATACTTACGTTATCCGTATAGCATGCATTTCAAATTTGGATACATATTAAACAACGTTCCACGTTTAACGTACCATAATATGCAATTAACCGATGCAACCGACACGAGTTAATATTCATCAATGATATTATATCATATATATCTACATATATTGGCAATGCTGTATACATACGTATTTTTCAGAACAAAAATTAACTTATTTACCGACCGATTTGGATTGTAAAACGAGTGAAGGTATCGCGTATGGTGCATAATAATCGTTGAAATCCTTAACCCTTTTCCATCTTCTTATCGCTTATGCAAATTTTGTAACGCGAAGATGGTGTCCAACGGGGAGAGAAACGTGGTGGGAATCGACCCAAGACCATCGCGACACCGCGAAGTGGAGCATGGAGATGCTCTTTGATCTTGCTTACACTTTTCGTTTTTTTTCTCACTCTTTTTTCCCCCTTCTTGGCACTTTGCTCGCGGAACACACCCCCGCACCGTCCTCTCGACGATTCTCTCGTAGTTCTTACCAGGCCAGAGATCCAGCAAAAGCTCCACTGATTCTTTTCTCAAACCGTGTTCGGTTTTCTCGACGACTTTGCGATACATCTCTTTTATTTTAACCTTAATAAGGAATAAAAAAAAAAAAAAAAAAAAAAAAAAAGGGAAAATACATTTTTATATTGTTTCCGGAATCAGATTATTCGAATAAGTCGAAGTTGAAAAATAATCATTAAAACGACGTTATCTGGCTTGTATGTTATTTGAAACAATGGTTGGTTTGTTTGAACGGGTAAATAATTGTTCGTTTTCATTTTTTATCTGATCAAATAAAAGCTCGGATACTCTCCAATTCTATTATGTAAAAATGATTAACTGCATTTGAAATGCATATTGAAAATAATACATGTAATGCATGTAAATTGGGGACATGTATTATTGGAAGATAAAAACTGTTAAACAGATTGATTGAAATTACGTCGAATTCTTTTGAAAGAGAACTGCGGTTAAATTGTAAAATATTTTCGTAGTTAATTAATTAATTCAGTTCAATATTTATGTCAAATTATTTTATTCGAGTCAAGTATATACTTGAAATAATTCATTATTTCAGAATTTCTATTAGAAACTAAATGATCTATCTACACAGGCTAATTCTTCATATATATATATCTTTGTTTGAAGGAATGAATTTGGCAATGTAAATGTTCGTTTTCGTGTTCTCGTCGACATTTTTAATCCGCTGATGACAGAAATACGACATTTGAATGGGAATGGATGAGATGAATGAAAAAATAAGAGACAATTTGGGAAAATAGGAACGAGATATTTATTATTATTATTATTTACTATTTAAAATCGTTACATTATGTTTGATATCATAATGTAATATCTTTTCAGATTTAAAAAGTAAATGGATAAAAAAATATTGATTTTTATGAAAATATTTCAAAGATCATTTCAAAGAATTATTTTTTTCTAATATTTTTATCAATTGCATTTAATACATTATAATCAAACATTTGTTTTAACAATTACAATTTTTTTTTCGACATATACAGTTTTGAAGTTATTTAAAAAATACTGAGAATCATAGGATTATTTAGAAGAAAAAATTATTTAATAATACATTTGTTCTTGACACGCGTATTCATTTTCAACCATATCACAATTTCACAAGTAATTGAGTAATTTGTGTTTTATTGTTGGTTTTTATTTTTTTTCTTATAAAAATTTCCATGATAACGTATCGTATTTTACTCGTCATTTATTTTTTTAAGAATTTTAAAAACAACGCAGTTGATGATATCTGCCTGGTATGATCTTTTGAACTATATTCTGTTTTTAAAAGTAAAGAAAAAGTCATGCATAAACAATATTTTCAAATAAATAAATTAAAAGATGCTAAGTAATATAGTAATATAAAAATGCAAATTATTCAATTGACTATGAAATTTTATCTATAAAATCGATATAACTGAAAATTGATACAGATGTCAGAAATAAATGTATCAGTATTATAAAAAATAATTTTTGTAATTAAATATCGACTTTCTCACGCTATTTTTTTTTTATAAAAGCGTAATTTTAATTAAAAGAAATTTAATAATATTGTTTTCGAATAAGTCGAAGTTGAAAAATAATCATTAAAACGACGTTATCTGTATGTTATTTGAAACAATGGTTGGTTTGTTTGATAAATAATTGTTCATTTTCATTTTTTATCTGATCAAATAAAAGCTTGGATATTCTCCAATTCTATTATGTAAAAATGATTAACTGCATTTGAAATACGTATTGAAAATAATACATGTAATGCATATAAATTAGGGACACGTATTGAAAGATAAAAATTGTTAAACAGATTGATTGAAATTACGTCGAATTCTTTTGAAAGAGAACTGCGATTAAACTGTAAAATGTTCTCGTAATTAATTAATTAATTCAGTTCAATGTTATTTATGTCAAATTATTTTATTCGAGTCAAATATACTTACTTGAAATAATTCATTATTTCAGAATTTCTATTAGAAACTAAATAATATCTATCTATACAGGATAATTCTTAAATATATATCTTTGTTTGAAGGAATGAATTTGCATATTAAAATAAATAAGAATGGACAAAAATGTAATAAAATGTTGAAAAAGTAAGTATACAAGAGGACAATATTTCTTTTTTGTTATTTATGATTTCTAATCACGAACAAATGTTGCTTTCCATAGTAATATTCGAGATGTTAATTTTTTTTCAAAAATTATTTGATATCATATTGTTTAATAAATAATTGCAAATATTTATGTTGCGTACATTGGAAATTGATGAGAGAAAAATAAATTATAAATGCAAATTAAATAATAAAAAATATTTGAGATTACGTATCATATGATAAATAAAATCTAATTTTATAAAGAATATTATAATATTTTTTTCTCAGATTTATTTTATAAATTTATCGATTATAAAATTATTAATAAATTAAAAATTTCCTTTAATCTCGTCCATATTTATTCATTCAAAATTATTTTTACGCAATAAAATATCATATATATTAATTTTTCTTAATAAATTTTTTAAATTTTTTAAATAAAAATAATTTCAAATAATCGTTCAAATTTGACAAATTTATTTATTAAATTCGAATTTTAACTTTATAATTATTACTATAAAGAGCAATGTGTTTATATTTAATAATCGAAATTTCAAGAAAACAACCCATAAATTAACAATTCTCCGCATATTATTTATCCGATAATAAAAAAAATATCATTTTTTTAAAGAATTGAAATTTCGAAATTTCGATCGTGTCCTTCAAGGATCAAGACCTCCTTTTGATCTTAAATATCGTAAGAAAATGCAATTCGTGAGAAGATTTAAGCGAGGGAGAGGGCTCGAAACTTTGGCCCTTAACTTTCTCGCTATATAACGAGAGAGGAAGGGGGGGGGAGGGGACGACACGAGGAAAACTTTCCCTCGAAACTATTCGAGGAATTCGGAGCGCCGTGTGGACGAATGAAAAACAACGATGCACGAGACACGCTTGTTATTGGCCACGAGCCTGATAAACTTTGTTATTTCAATTGCTCATGGGCGGATATTAATTAAGAGTCGCTTAAGCTGCCTGGCGCGTTGCCTGCTATCACACGACAATCGGCCCTCTAACTTTCGATCAAAATGGATCCGCACCTTTCTTCAAACGCGTGAGTCACGAGACGCGAGCCTTCACCGTCTCAAGGAAAGATGGCGTACGTATCACGTTAAACACTAGAATCTATCGTCAATCAACCATGGATTTTTTCACCATTTATTTCGATATTTTTGAGATCGTTAAGAGATACTCAAGTATTCGATTCTAATAAGGCCAAAATAAAGTTGCAGAAAGTTGGTATGCAAAAAAAAAAAAAAATATCGATCGAAACTTGTTTATTGTCGTAGTCACGGGTAATTCGATTTGTAAGTTTGCATTGGATGAAGCGAGATGAAGAGTAGAGTGTAGGACAGAGATAGAGACGCTCTCGCTTCATCCAACGCGACGTAAAATAAATAAGTCTCGATAGATGTTTTATGTTAGTTTTGGCTTTTAAGAATTGATCTTTTAAAAGTGTCTCATAAATGTATTAACATTCTGCATACGAAACATTTGCTACGACAAATTTCTAATCTATCTCTTTCTACTTAAAAATACTATTTATTATACTTTATCTTAGATTACATAATTATGAGAAGGGAGGATGATAACTGATCATTCGACTATATTATAAACAAAGCATTTCGAAAGGCTATAATTTAAAAATATCCAAATTCATCGTATATCTATTATTTTCATCCCTTCGTTTATTCAATTATTCACATATAAAATATTCAGATATTTTACTTCACGAATCGTAACAATTTCAATACCGTCGACGATCTTTCTTTCTTTCTTTCTTTTTTTTTTTTTATCTTCCCTTCCCAGGGAAAGGGAAAAAGGAAAAGAAAATTCCCCACGTGTCTCACCCCCGAAACCGTGTCTCTCAATCCCCAATCGAATGCGACCATTCGAGTTCCAATCGCACGTGCATCCTCTCTCTCTGCTGATCGATCAATTTCTCTCGGCGATCTCGAATCACGTAGCAGACCGATTTTCCACTACAGTGTATCGCTAATTAACGAACGGTCCGCCCGAAGTTAGCGGTCTCCCTGTCTCTCTGTGTATATATGTATGTATGTACGTATGTATGTATGCATATGTGTACACTCCAAGTTGATTCATAGCGATCGAGTAGCTTGGCTCGGCGTTAATTCTTGATCGATCTGTCACTTGGCCGATCTATCAAGCTATCGCGGCCTATTAGGCTGTCGACCTAGTGGCTTACCAGTCTAGTAGCTCATTAAGAGAATAGCTCGGTATAGGGGCTGTTAGTCCAGAGGTAGCGCAACCTAGTTTTCGTTTTTTTGTACATCTTATATATATATGTGTGTGTGTACCGAGCAGCGTGTTTCGTGTATGTATATATATATATATGTGTGTGTGTGTATATATTATTATCGCCACATACCCGATCCAGGGAGAGTTTAACAAACCGAGAACCGTTTCTTTTCCAGATCGCTGCCGAAACTCAGCAGCCAGGACGAGGATGGGCCGAACCCACATACCCAATACACAGGCGTCACGCAGTTCGAGCCCATACCGCACGATCATGATTTTTGCGAAAGGGTCGTCATTAACGTGAGTATATATCTTTTTTTTTTTTTTTTTTTTTAAAAGTAGAAAGAAGAGAGAAAAGTTTTTCTCTCGAGGGTATTATTATTAAGCGTGTTCATTTAGATCGATGGGAATCGAAGCGTGATTGGAAATATAATTGTGTTGAGAGTAAAAAATTTTTGGACAGTCCGTTTCAAGTTAATGTCTAATCTAATATAATGAAGAGAGAATTTATTCTGTCGAGAGTGTTTCTTACAAATGGAAATTATTTTTGTTAGTAGAAGTTTATCTTTCGAAAATTATTTTCGCATCTAATTTAACTTGATCTTAAACAATGTCATTATATTTCAGAGTAAAATTCTCGGGAGTTAGTTTTTCGATGAGAGTAAAATTTAAGAATAAAAGTCATCGTTGAAAAGTTATTATTCAATGTATCCATTTTTAAGAAATGCTTTCGAGGATTTTATCGTTAAACATATTTTAGGTTAGGTTAGACATCGAGTTAACAATGACTGTCTAATGGTACTTTTTTATATTCTCTGGAGAGCAGCTCTACATTCAGATGCATTCATGCTCTAATGACATTTTTAAAATCAGCATTTCGAAGTAAAATTCTTACGAATTATTTTTCTATAATGAATACTGTATTATAAGAATAAAAGTTACTGTTTAAGAGTTACTCTCAATGTATCCTCTTATGAGAAATGTCTTCAAGACATTTATTGACTTTTCATTGTTATATTTTAGGTTAGGTTATTTTAAAAGTGCAAATATATGTATTTCAATAATAAAACTCTCGACACTTATTTTTCATTCAATAGACGTTGAAAACGATGTGTGAAAAGTAATCAAAAAAAAATATTCTCGAAGACAAAATCAACAAAATCTTATGAGATCGTCGATCACTACATTATTCTAATACGATTTCCTAATTAATAAAAAATTATCTATTTCTTATTCCTTCCGCAAATCACATTCAAATATAATCTCGAGAATGAAGATAGCTAGTCGAAAAACGATTACGCGATATTTCAATCTCGCAACGATTTGATCTCGAGTAATTATATATTGAAAACACCTTCGAAACGACGAAGGAATGTATCGGTTGCCGTGCACAAGCCGCGGTACAGTAGCGCTGCCGCAGTGGGGCGATCGAATTAATATAAATTTCGTGGCGCTTTTACCGCGAGTGTGTTTGAATCGTGGAATCATAGAGGGCGTGGCGGACGCGTTTTACGTCTCTTTCATTCACCGCTCCATCAGGCGGCGAGATAATTGGGGTCGAAATTCAACACGGGTCGAGCACGAGGCTGGAAACTCGGAAAAATGTTCCCACCCGTATTTGATTGCAATTGTCCGGAATAACGAAGCATACTTGTCGTGCTCGCCCCATGTTCGACGTGTCGAAGAAAAGGAATAAAACTGGTGAATTGAAGAGAGGGGGGAGGGAAAAGAGAATCGATGGATAATAAACGATTCGAAATGATGGTAAATCGTTTCTCGATTTTAAATCGTAAACAATTACTGTGATACGCACCAACAGTCAAAAATTTTGAAATCATTTCTTTAATCGTGGCTAATATGTCCTTTCTTGAAATTTTGTTGTCGAGGAAAAATAGAGATATCGGTGTCGATAATAATTTTCACTCGCATTGATTTCAATTCTTTTTTGTAAAAATTTTTTTACGATTATGAAATTTTAATTTTCAATTTTTTTGGAGTAAATTAAATTATCGATGAATTTTTGAAAGATTTAGTTTTCAAACTTTTGGACAGTAATCTAAACATATTACTTCCAATACTGATATAATTTTGATAAATAAGAAAAATGTTTTGATATAAGATAATTGATTAAGATATATTATAAGCGTTAGAAAATAGAATGATTTTGATTTTGATAATTAGTATAAACTGCTAAAAAAAAGTGAATGTTTGTTATAGAAATATTTTTATTTAAGATGAAGAATTATTTGTGATAGTAATTTTTTATTAAAATTTACGTTAAAAATTATTTTTACATCATTATTAAATGAAATAGTTTTGTATTTGTATTGTATTTCTCTCTCTTTATAATTTTATCATTTTTCTTTATGTTATTATTGTTTTTTACTAATTTTACCATTCACTTTAATATATAATCATATCTTTAAGAGAAATTTTTTGATGATTTATCCAAAATGCATTTCTTGCAATTTTGCAATTTTATAATTCTCAAAACTCAAATTCAAAATTCAAGGTTTTACAAATTTTGTAATCAAAGTGTAATTCTCTAATTACTCCAAAATTCCTTTCTTACAAATTTTGCAATTTTACATTTCATACGGATTAAAAATTAAAAATTTATCATAAAACCTACAATTTTTTAAAATTCTTAAAATTCAAATTCAAAGTAAATTTCTTATAAATTTTATAACTTTTTACTTCTCGCAAAGTTTCACGATTCATTAAAATTCAAAATGCATTTCTTACAAATTTTGCATTTACCATTTTTTGCAAATTCGAAACATTTATTCCGTCCCTCTATATTCCACAAATATTTGAATATTTTCGGGAGTACATACACATATATATATACATACACAATATACATGTATATTAGTTTTCGCGCGATCGTTATCCAGAACGGGCCGCATTCAGATCGATCTCCACGCGTTTTTCAGTTTCGAATGCAAACGACTGGCGCTGCCGCCGTTCGCGCATCACGCCGGTTATACTTATTTTCTTTTCGACGAGGCAAGATTATCTCAAGACACGAAGTGACCTACAGACCGTATTTTGGCGCCTGTCCAAGTTCGTCTTGGAATCAGGGGCAATATAGTACCAAGGTCGTATTGTGTGAACGGAATTATCTGTCCTCGTGGATGACACGACTGCATTGCGCCAATTACAGTAACCGTTCGATCGCCCCTTGAAAAATTTCCGATCCGTTTCTTGTCGGATCGATCGTTTCGTCCACCTCCTCCTCTTCTTGTCCCAAGTATCACGGTGTATCATGAAAATGTTTTAGGATCGAAAGTTGATTGCAATTGAGAATCTTGCAGAGAGAAGTGTATATTTTGATAGAATTTTTTGATAGTTTTGTATTATATTTAATATAATATAAAAGAGAAAAATTGTAGGGTGTAATAGGGATATTTATAGGAAAGTAGAGATTTACTACAGATTTTAGTAGTTTTGTGTTTAATAAGAAATAACAGATTCTAATCTTTAATAAAATTGATTGTTTTTGATTAGAGAATTGTAGAATGGTAAATCGATTAATTGTGTTTTATTTTTTCATTGTTTCTTCTTGAAGCCAAAAAATAGTTTGAAATTTGAAATAAGTATATTCTTAATGTTGAAACGAATCAATAATTTTTTTTAATCTCCATGAAACTGATAAAAATGAATTTTGCAATGTTTTTGTTGCAAGAAAATTGGATTCGTGATTGAAAGCTTATTATAATTGTCCTCTTTCTTTCGCATGTTACACAAATATAGCGAGTCAGAAAAAGCTTCGAATCTTACAAGAAAATTCACTTAACTCTGAAATTCGAATCTCAAGGAAAATTTGTATATGCAGATCATAATGGATTCTGAGATAATTTTTCTCAATGGAAATTCTCCTTATGAATAGTTTTCTATTCATTTTTATTTTCTGAATCATTCGTTATATGTTGATTGAATCATTTCTGAAAATATAGTGTAAAATGCTTTTATAAATATAATACGTGAATTGTACAAAATTAGTTGATATAATCACCATTATAAATAGATACAATTACAGATTACGTAAGTAAAATTTAAAAATTGTATAATGATTATTTCGTCACGAAATACAATAATTAGTGTTCAAATCAATATACACTTTTATGTATGCTTTCAGATTTATTTTTAACGTTATTATTATGTAATTTTCTTAACATTTATAGTTTTAATTATATTCTAAAAAAGTTATATAACAGACATATTATATTCAAACAATCTCTGTGAAAAGTATTGAAATATTTGTAGGAATTATTGTATATTTCGGATAAAATTCAAAATCAGGATTGTTCGTTATTGAAATAAATTTTTATTCAAATATAATTTCTATTTTATTCTTTATATTAAATAATTATTACATTTTACATTATTATATTTTTAATAATATTAAATAGTAGAAATTTGAGAAATTAATTATTCTAATATTTTTTTTATTTTATTACAAAGATATTTTTTACAAAAATATTTTTTGTGCAATGGAATTTCTATACATAAAAATTATTTTTCTATATACATTCATTTTTAGACTCTTCAATTTTAAATAAAATCTATATTTCTCAAATATGGAAAATTATATTCTATTCTCTATCTTATCATTCGAAATAATAAACAATTTAACAAACGAATCGTTTTAAAAATAATTCCTCGAATAAACATTATCTCACTTTATTTGAAATAATTATTTATTCTTTTCATTTTAATAAATAAAGTGTACGAATCCACTCCACTTATTCGAAGAAACGAACTTCATAAAGGGTAAAAGCAAAAGGGGAGAGGCGATCGAAAGACGATTTCCGTGAGAAATCATGGCCATTCGCGGACGTTCGATAACGAGACTAAATATCGATCGGCGACACAGTGCATACGCGTGTATCCGCGCCGTCGCGAGTACAATCCAATTTCTGTTCTCGACGGGTCGCTCGTCATCGCGATGCGACCGTCCTCTCAATCGAATCGCGCGCTATAATGTTCGAAAAGGCTAATTGCCTGTCCCAAATAATAGATTTTTATAGTCGGCATCCGGTATCCGACGATCAATGTTTTTGCTCTTCAATTCATTATCTTGGAATCCGTGCAAATGAAATTCGTACAATTCTTCTATCGATAATAAAAAAACGTTTAAATGTTGAAATTCGATCGATACGAAATATTTTTAACGAATGAGAAAAAAATAAAGAATTCAATGGTTCAATAATTTTTCGTATCAGTATGAGCTAGAATTAGAAAAAATTTGAAATATGTTAAAATAAATAACATTAAAATAAATAATATTGTCGTCT